CTATCGCTGAAGAAAGCTCCAGCTGCCAACTTCCTTCATCTAGTTTTGGTGTCTTTGTCGACCATCCTGAAATCCTGTCATTTTTCACTATGTTCAATCTGATGGCACCCCCGCGGCATTCAGAGGTAGCATGAAGTCTTTTTATTTAGATTTCTTGCTATCACGGCAAAGGTATCATGTGCATTTTTCTAACAGACCCTGGAACGGTTGGACGGCAGTAGCGATTTTATGAGGGCCCTCCCTTCGGGAGGTAGTCTGCACCTCTGAAATTAGCAATTGTAGAAATTAAACAGAGCGCACGGGATTCAATATTCTACCTAAAGTAACTTTCGTCCTCTCTCTGAGTGTTTTGTTTGCCGTCAGTTCTGTGACAAAAGATTTTCGGAAGCTTTGTTAAAAAGTTTATTTTTGAGTGGGACTAGAACTTCGAAATTAAACATCATTTTTGTTTTAACAGATCGATAAATAGACATATTATATATATATATGTACGTGTGTACCCTGTCGTTACTAGAACACAGCTGAACTTTGTATGGGGCTGTCCGAGTTACTTCCAATAGCAGGAATAAGTCCCGTGGGAAAGGAGTCCAGCCATGAGGTGGAAAATAATTGAAAACTACATGTGGTCTCAGGGGATTTCGTTTTTAGAAACACCAGGGTCTGAAGCGAGTGGTCGTTTAAAACTCATTCAGAACATTTGTGTGAAAACTAGGTTGCTCGATAACTTAGTAATTACGCTAAAAGGGTACTTTTTTTCGCCCAGCCATGTACCAACTGCAGTAGCTCATTTATATGGTCTTTATAGTCCTTCTTGTTCAAGAAAGCGATCAGTAATCCAGAAATGAGCATGTCATTAGTTTTGGTGGGAGAATGTTTTGATTTTTTAATATTTCTGAAGTGGAGTCTTGTAGTATAATCAAAAAATGCAAGAGATAGTTGAATGGCAATTTATTTGCCATTATCTGTCGACCGTAGCCCACCGACAATGCGGGTAAACCCAAAACCCGAAACCCAATCCCTTGGTTGTTGGATAAGAAGCTCCAAAACGAGTTGCGGGCTCACACCTCGTCGGCTTCGATCGACAATATCTGGTCGCTGGGGGTGGAATTTGCAATTTGATGGAGGGCGCGCATGGGGGTGCGTGATTTACCACTCTGCCTGAGCAGGGAGCCCCACTATTGGTCAATTAGGAACAAGAAATGAAGATACAGCAATGATCGATCACCTGCGCGACCTCTACGCGTTAGTAGAAAGGCAAATAGGAAGTCCATATTGGTTTCCGCCCCCAGGGCAGCAAAATTAACGCCAATCCGATTAAACTTTAAACTGGGTGGAGTTATGAGAGAGACAGAGACACGCTTTATTTAAAAAAATATTATTCCAAAATCTTCAGAAAAATGTTCTACATTCACCGGGAATAAAATTACGCACACAAACCACGCATACTAGCCGAACACTGCTATTGCCAACATTACGACAAATCGCCCTTGAATGAGTAGCAAAATTTATGCAAAATTGGACTTCCTTCAAAACGGTGCTAGTGTCCTGCGCTAGAGAGAGAGAGAG